ATACTCGTCTGCAGTCCTTTACTTCCCGGTCTGTGCAATAATGTACTTACTCGGTCTAGATTTCAGCATGGTCATTCCTAATTTCCGGAGACATCTCATAGTGGCGATGTTTGCGAGTCTGAAATTTGACAAAATCTATGAATATTAACACAAATATCGAACACTTAGAAAAACATCCTTCAATCCGACCGGATTCGAACCGACGTCCGTGCCAGACGCTATGCCAACTAAGCCACGGAACGAACTAGCGGATCTCACGAATTTTTCTACGTGCTTCTTGTTGGATCGTTGTATTTGGTTTTCAACGACTTTTTAGCCGTAGCGCCATCTATGCGAAATCTATGAAAGTATTTCGTTACCCAGTTAGATACCTTTACTTTTAATTAAATTTTTATTGAATCTTTGTATTAATAATTAAAACAAACTAGTGGAGAAATTTCGTAAAAAATAATTAAATATTAATTCAATAAAAACTTAATTAAAATCTAGGAATCTATGTAACGAGAAGCGTAAGCATAAATAAAGATTCTGCAAACAAAACTAGTCGCTAATATCGCCAAGCAGCAATGTCAGCATTACTGTGTTTTGGTATTGAAGGATAAAGGTGCTGGTGAAATTCCAGGCACATGGGACTTGTCAACTTATGTCTCAGGGTGACGGGCGCAGTGGTAGTGCCCGTTAGACCTATGCGATTTAAATCTCCGAGTGGCACTGCACCTGTTATGGACAGGCGTCCCGTCACTTGATAGTATAAAAAAAACACACACACATATACATAATTTATTGTCTCATGTAATTCGTGATAAATAGATGGCATGTGTGTTACAAACCAATTTATAAATTACCGCTTCCTAATATGGGTAAGATAGCTAAATAAATTATAAGAATACCTATCCATAAAAACCTGTGCAATAAGCGCCATCTAGTTGATTTGTCAGTTATCACTAGAAATTAGAGTAGCCTTGATATATTACAGCTTGTCAATGTAAAACAAATTAGTTACAAAAATAGCTATTGGTATTCGTTGCGACATCTGATTTACCAATAGGTACTAAATACCTGGGGGTACTCTGTTTTTAACCGACTTCAAAAAAGGAGGAGGTGCTCAATTCGACTGTATGTTAGGCGAACTAGGGGATATTTCAATAAAACTTAGCAAATAGACGTAATTCCACGTACTTTTGAGGTTGTTGTTTTTAGTACTCTGTACTGAGATTATGTATTCCGTATTTGCAGTACTGCATGATAATACGAAGCGACTTACGTCATCTTCCTCAAAACGCAGTACGCAGCTGCTTGGTGCCAGTCCATTCTGCCATCATAGACGTGATATAAACCAGTTCTGCAACGCACAGTCTTTAGCTCCGATACCTTCTGGTCCACTTGTGCATCTGTTAGGGTTGCCATAAAGGTTGATAAAGTTTTGTTCTATTTATAAGGCCATGGAAGTTTTTAATAAAGAAATCTGATATACGAAAAAGAACAGATGGAAATTTTGATGAAGAAATATAGTATTGGGTATTGTGATCATTGCAACCTCTCATTGTACCTCTTTCACAAGCAAAGGGCCTTTCCAGACTGCACGGCAAGTCGACAAATACTGGTTTGTCGTGGAAAACTCTCTCCAGTGCTACGCAGTCTGCTCCCTCGTCTGGTACCGGAACATGTGTCCGGTTTAGCCACTACAAATGAAGACAATAAAGTTAAACAAACAAAGCCTGAATCTGTGCGAAGACTTTATTCCTCCATTTCCCCCCTGTTATTGTCATACCCCTATTCCGTATGGAATTCTTGCCTAGGTAATAAGGACATGCGTCATGAGGAGTGAAAAATACTTTACTGCAACTCATTCGAATAGGGGGCCACAGAAAATGTGGCCGTAGAAAAACCATTATGGCTCCAAAACCTAAGTGCTGGTTAACCATGAGTACCATAGAATTGATTCGAGCCGCTACTTCACGGACTCAAGAAGCTATAATGAGAGCCGAACTCCGGTCAGAGATAGCACATCAAGCAGAAGAAGGTGTAATAAGGTCACAATTGCAAAATGGCAACTTTTCAGGAGGGAGGTTCGTATCTAGTTTTGTCCGCTACACAATTAAAATCCATTATGCTATGTGTGCCTGTTTTTATTCTGTTGTCATGTGAAATAGGTGGATAAAATACTGTCCTTAAGATCCTAAAGGACTTTCAATTTCTTTCCTTTTCTCCCTCTATTTTGGTGAGGTTTTTGATGACAAGGTTTTAAATAGAGGGAGAAAGAAAAAAAGAATAAAAATAAACATTAAAAAAAAATACGAATTTAAAACTGCTCGCGTACACAATAGTTGCAAAAATGTGTCTACTCTCGTTCTCTGTCAGGCACTCGTCCGAAATTACTAATGTCAAATTGTCGAGTAAGAAGCTTCATTCGCATAATGCATCTTTCAATTTGGTCGAGTATTATTTATTTGACAGTAATGTTAGATAGTTGCGTAATTTAAGTGATGATTTGGTAATCAATGTCATAATTAACCTGCAAATATACAATAATTAGTAAGTAAAACACCACGTGTGTATAAGGAAAACACGACGCGCCAACGACTTGTTGAGTTGTTTGTGCACGAATATATAAAAGCTGATACACGATTGGCGGGGGCTTTTTTGACGGTTGGCAACGAATTTGAGCAGTCGCTCTGCTGGAACCATCGAGTATATAACCAGAAATAGAGACGAAATGTCATTTAATTTGTTTGAAAACTATTCTGCCATATCATTACGGTGACAACTGCGCTCCGAATGGCCAGCCCGAATTCGAAACAATTGACGGATTTCGTCAACTGTTTCACTTCAAATCGACCAGTTAACTTGAACTTTGCTATAATGGACGATAGTTGAGAAATTACACATTTAATATTTAATTACCGATGAAATTCGATTCCGTTTGTTTTGTAATTAGATGTTTTGCTGTTGCTGCTATTCCCCCACACCATCGAGTGGAACAGCACGCCATTGTTAGAGATTTTATCTTTATTACAAAATACAGAGTATTTTTTGGAATATACGGAGTCGTACACACAGGTCAGTGGTTGGCCTGTCTATATTTCAGTGCAAACGAGAGTTGATATTTATAAGAGCTGTATCGCTTATGTGTTACCAGGAATATATGGCCCTTATTTCGTCTCTATTTCTGGTTATATACTCGATGGCTGGAAGTAAGTTAAGTGTTATTCCAACGGCTTCTTGTATTTTCGAATGTGTTTAAATCTAGCTGACGCTTAAAAGCTAATAATTTCTTAATATAAATGCTATAAAATGTACATAAATAATGATTATGAGCGACATAAAAAAAAGTGAATATAGGATGTGTAAGCATAAGATTAAGGTAAAACCACAAGTGATGTACTGAATAATTGTGCATGGTGTATATGTTAAGAGGGAGCATGCCAAAAAAGTTTTGACGTTGGCTCCGCCCAAATTTGTGAAACAAATATATGCCTGAAGTTCGCGTGACATGCGACAGGAGATGTTGAATTTTGCGCATTAAAAGTACCAAATTTGTTTTAGCGGAATAACTCTAAAACTAAAGGAATTAAAAAAAAATCCGTAGTGACAGTTGTCGATTATGCATAAATATAATTAATTATCTAATTTTTGTCCTAATAACCTGTAGCATTTCGAGGATGAATCGAAAAAATGTGAAAATTACAGGTCATTTCGTGATTTTTATCTATCGAGGAAACTTTATTGTTTTATGTTTCTGATTAATGTCTATGCTTGAATATATCGTGTAGTTACATACAATATTTTATTTTTAACTTTAAAGTGGATATACCCCTCTAAAATAAAATCGAAGATTAGGAATTTTTCCTCTGCTCCCTCTTAACTTCTATAACCCTTGTTTTCCCAAATAAATTAATTATGAATTAATAATAAGATAATGTAGTTATTACTCAGCACATTGTAATTTGTTTAACTGTATATAAAAGATAACATAGCATAACTTTGATTGAAAATATAGCAAGAAACTGTGTTTTGATGTGACTTACGGTTTAATACCGCCTTCTAATCCTGATACTTTACAATACTCATTGTTTTGGACGGGTGTCGGAAGGAGAACGAGACTACAGGGCCTAATCCGTTCTGCGATACCTAGTGTATAAAGCCACAAATTCGCAACAATGTTTGCGTGTACACCACAAATCCATGTATCCAACTCAAAACGCCGCGCTAAATGCATCACCAACGTTCCGAATTCGCTGCCCTAGTTGAACCTAAATGTGTTAAAGCGTCGCCTTTGCTGGTAGTAATTGTACGCACTGCGGGGAAGTGCTTTCCGACTTCCTTCTCCTGCAAGACATCCAGTGCAGTCCTGCGTAGCTCTACTCCATGGCTCCAGCGGTACCCTGCTGGGTCTTCTGCGGAACCTCGTCGAGCACCTACCCACAGGGATTCTAAGGCTGAAGACAAAAAAACAAAGGTTTAGTAGATATATATAAAGGTGGCGACTGGCCGAAATTTTGTTGTTATGTAACATTCGATGTGAGCATGTCGACCCATTACTGCCGACTTAGAACGTTTGCGTACTCCGACCGATCCGTATCAGTTCAGGGGGTCTACTTTCGATCTCTGTCCGACATCCGTCTGAAACAATTACTGCCAAATAAGCAATACTTGACCAAATGAAAAGACGCGTGATGCGAATGGAGCTTCATACTGGATACTTATCTTTTAATTTTTGTCAGTAATTGTTTCGGACGGATGTCGGACGGAGATCGAGAGTAGACCCCCTGAACTGATACGGATCGGTCGGAGTACTCGGAGTAGTGGGGAGCCGGTTGGGTGGCCGTTTGGGGGGTCGTTTGGGGGTCGGTTGGGGGCCGGTTGAGGGCGGTCAGGGGTGAATGACCCACCCCCTAACCCAACCCACCCACACACCCGCTCACCCACCCACTCACCCGCTCACCCACCCACTCAAACCCCCGAACCCACCCCCGACCCAACCCCTGACCCACCCCCTAAACCACCCCTCTCCCCCATAGAATGTTTAATAACAAAACGTTGCTGTTAAGCAATCAATGATGGCATAGTAAACCACCAGTTTCCGCTTTTGTACAACTATGAAATCCAATATAGTTTTCTTCATTTGGTGTAAACCATATAGTTGAGTAAAAACATAGAATCACGACTTCGTCATCCGACATTTCGACTGCGAATAGTGATGAAAGAGACTCGACTACTTTTTACACGACGCGACTCTAAAATTAAGACTGGGGGTTCGAGTTTTCATTAATAAGACTCAGTCGTTATACTAATAGACTAAAAAGACTTTAACGACTAGAACGACTTGAAAGACTTAAACGACTCGAGTTGTTTGCAAAGGACTTATACCTATTTTATGTCTTATTAAACCCGAAGTTTATAAATAAAAATAACGTACGTAGTATGTAGTAAATAATCGCATTTATTTACTTACAATAAAAATCGTAAAATAAATACCTTGTGGGTAGAAATAAAATCACGCCATATGACTCATGACTCGCGACTCCCGAGGCTATGAGGCGCCAATCGTTTTAGTCGTTTTAGTCCTATAAGTCTTTTAAGCGTGTCAGGGTTAAAAGACGGGTGATTTAGGGGTGATAATTCGTTCTATATTACGAGTATATTGCATCAGGAAAAGTTTGCGTTATAGATTTTTTTGTATTTTGTATCAAGAAATGTAACTTTTTCTAACGGTTATGCTAGTATCAAATACGTATATTGAACATTTTATATTTAACAATATAAGGGCTATGGCATTAAGAAATGTAGTGACACTCTTGTGAACGTCCTGTGTACATACATACTCAGGCGGATTGTGTACAGATAGACAACTGCCAAGCAAAAACTCCAATGCTTACCAAACTGCGATTCCGAAAGTGCTTCGGCGAGGAACTCAGATCTCTCTTTCGTATCTACAATAGCTAAGCTGCCATTGTGATACCCTCTGCAACAAAAAAAGCTTAGTGTTTGAGAAAAGCACTACATATACCTCGGCGAAAACGAGCATTGCCTGACTCGTGTAATAACTCATACTGTAGTATGTTTTTATTGGGGTGACAGAGGGAAATCAGGTTTTTCCAATATGGTGGCTTTATTTCACAACATATACAGCATGTACAACGTCGGTGTTATAGTGGGAAAGGACTCCCCCTAATCGGCACGTAGTCGAGGACCCGTACGCACGTTCCAATTAGGAAGCGGCTCAGGGTGCAACAACTACGTGTTACGTTCTAAAGCGCAGTTCCAAAAGGGAGGCAGCGCTAGAAGCGTAGCACAGTGCAGTAGGTTCAACGGTAACAATCTAAAGCGGAGTTCCAAACAAGGAAGCAGAGCTAGATGCGTAGTAAGTTGGATTACATTCATGTTTGCATCGCCGTCAGTAGGTAGTCATTCCGCCACCGCGATGCAGAATTTGCTATTTCGACGCCAATGCCGTCTAGCGGTGCGTGACGGAACTAATATGAGTTGTTGCCTGTTATGTGATTTTGTTACAATATAAAAATTGCTTATCTTGTATATTATGTTTTCCCATCCTACTCAAATTATTAAAATAAACAACAACTAGCCGTCAAGTGTTTCGCCTCTCTTCACGGATTAGCAAATTAATTTACTTCCATTTTTATTAACATGGACTTCCGCAAAGTAACGTCTGAATCTATTACTAACTCATACTCATCCGGCAATCCTTTACTTACCGGTCTCTGAATAATAATAAAGCACTCATTCATAAGTCCCGCACTAGGTAAACCCTGTGTCAAGGACACACTTATAGACTACCACAAATTACACTCAAACTCACGAGAGAAATAAATGTAGGCCATACAAATATTTCTCCCGGCATCGGATTTCGACCTCTGCGTGGCAGACCAGGATGGTAACCGTTCGGCCACAGAGGCAGTTAAATTTAACTTAACTTCTATCAACAGTGAACTTGCTATTTTATGCTTAGATAAAATATATACAAAAAAAATGGTTCCTTAACGGGTCTCCCCGAGGTCATCTCCACCCAGAAACATTTTTACGAATTCAGAATGAATTATATATCGGGGAGAACCCGCACGAATAGATATTTCTATTACGCAATATTTGGAAATTGCATGGACAAATAACTTAAGACTGCTTCTTGCTACAGCATGCTGATACAAATTGGAATCGAACCGATAGGGTAGTCTTGAAATCAGATGTCTTGTATTGCGCTTAGCACTTCTCTTGTATTATTGTTACATGGAAATTGTAAAACTCACCTACAGAGTATCTTAGCATTTTCCCAAGTTACAGGTAAATTCTGTATCAAATACTCCTTATCGTTGTATATATAGGACTCCCATTTCTCTGAACACGAATGGGGTACTGAAAACAGACATAACATTATTATCAATCCGCTAAGAGAAAAGTAATCTCCGTGTGCCTGTTTCTGAAGTTGCAAAACCACAGAGGCAGATGGACCGGTGCGACGAGGACGGCGTCACAAAAGTGGAGAAAAAGAAGCATAAGCCCACCAGCCGTAACCAGTGTGGCACAGCACCGACAGGACCGAACGTCCTGCTGCGTCCGGCCATTCCGATGACGCTGCTGTACCTGTCGCGACTGCATTACTCCATGAAGTCTGAGCAGCTAGTGGAGTACATCTATCATAAAACCAAATTATAGTGAGAGTACCGACCGAACATCTGTCGACCTTCATTAAGGAAGTAATATACACCAGTGCAATTCCTGTAGATTAGTTAAAAATGGTGTTTTATTATATTGTATGTATGTTAGTCATTGAGGTATGTATTATATAGGTCATGTAGCCTGAACTAAATAAATAAATAAAAAAAAAACAAAAAATATCATTAACAAAGTATACGACATCTCTCGCCAGGACTGGTAGCTGTAAAGGTACTAACTGGGTGATAAATCTGTAATAGATTTCTCATAGATGGCGCTATGACTAAAAAGTCGTTGAAAGACCAAGTACAAAGACATGCGCAAGCACATAGAGAAATTCGTGAGGTCCGTTGGTTCGTTCCGTGGCTTAGTTAGTATAGCGTCTGGCACGGTATGCAAGAAGACGTCGGTTCGAATCCGACCGGATCGAAGGAATTTTTTCTGAGTGTTTTTTCTGAGTGTTCGATCTTTGTATTAATAATTAAAGTATAGGTACTAACAAGGCCACTGGAAACAACAAACGTTTAGGCGTAGCCCGCAACTCTGGCTTAACAATTTGCATGCATTAGCAATTTGCCTAAAAATAATTAAATGAGACCAGGCGGAGAAATTTTAACACAGATCCGAACGTCGACAAGCGCGCGATGGCGACTGGCTAGCGCGGCGTCCCATTTAAATTTCAAGAAAATAGTCGGTTATTTTTTTATAAAAATATTATTTTAGTAGAGCTCCTTGTGAAAGAGCTCGTCCAGGAAAGTATGTACTGCCACCTTACCTATTTCTGCATTTTGGTTTTGAAGAGTAAAGGTGTTGGTGAAATTATAGGTACATGGACCTTGTCAATTTATGTCTCAGGGTGACAGGCGCAGTAGCAGTGCTTCTTAGATCTTTGCGATGTAAAGCTCTGAGTGGCACTGCAACTGTTATAGACAGTCCTGTAGCTTAACACCAGGCGTACGCCTTGTTAATCGCGTCACTTGACATTATAAAAAAAATCTCTTACACATGGCGCGATGTTTTTTTAGAGAATAGCTACCGAACCGAACCATATTTGTTTTTGGTAAACTCGAATTCTCCAAACGTTTGAACGAATTGTCAAAACTATTTATGGACATCTAAAAGTAATTGAAAAAAATTTCGTAAATGCGTTGCGCTGTTTCTTGATTTATAGATGAACCCATTGATGAACCCAATACCTTCTTTTACACTGAAGACGAAACCGTTGGCGTCTTCTATACCAGTAATAAAAGTTCAACAAAAGCGTGGCTCTATCATAGCCGTGCCCTCAGGGTGATCGCTGTATGAATACTGTGGTTCATTTTTTTTAACCGACTTCGAAAAAAGGAGGAGGTTCTCAATTCGACTCATGTTTTGTACGTATGTTACACGATAACTAATTTCTGAACCGATTTTGATGATTCTTTTTTTGTTGGAAAGAAGATACCTCAGAAGTGGTCTTTTTTTTTATATATATAATAGACACACGCTTGGCCACAATCTCACCTGATGTTAAGCGACGATGTGACCGACGATGGGACGCGTTTGCCTAAAAAATGCCTATTCACTCTAGCCTTGAATAGCCCCAAATTGTACTTTTCGGGAAATACAGCCGGTAGAGCATTCCATTCCTTTGCCGTACGCATCAGAAAGGAGGAGGCAAAGCGCTTAGTGCGAATAGGTGGAATATCAACGACATAAGAATGGAGTGCTCCGGACCTTCTAGTCGACCGAAGGAGGAACGGTGAGGGCGGAACCAAATTGAAAAGTTCCTGCGCACTCTCCCCGAAATGTATCCGATAGAAAACCGACAAGCAGGCTACTTTTCTGCGATGATCGAGATTTTGGAGCTTCGACTCCACAAGAGGATTATTGTTAATAAGTCTCTTTGCTTTACGCTCCACCGAGTCCAAGGCAGCTAACTGGTATTGGGCAGAGCCATCCCAAAGGTGGCAGCAGTACTCCATACAGGATCGAACTTGTGCTTTATACAGATTTAAAAGCTGTTCAGGTGTGAAGTACCGCCTGACCTTGAAAAGTATGCCTAGTTTTCTGGCAGCAGTTTTTGCCAAGCACTCGATGTATCGCCCAAAGTTGAGGTTGGATGATAAGTCCAGACCAAGTAGCTCAAGGTGGTCCCTTATCGGCACGGATACACCTCGGAAAGTCGGAGTAAGGTCCCATTTGAATTTAAAGAAAATAGTTTACCTCTAAGGGTATTATTGCAAAAGTGATTGAAAACACGAATGATTTCGCAATATTGTCTATTCCTTACTAAAAATAGGAAAGAGATAACGATATGTGAACTATATAATGCCATCTCTTTCTTTTTTGATGTTCCGAATCGTCTCGTCGTAGTATAATGTTTAAGTACTTAATGTTATTTACATTGGGAGAATTTTGAATGTTAAAAACAGAAAATATGTAGTAATCAAATCTATTAAAATTACGTTGTTTTCAGAAAAAAGAAAATAAACAAAACAAGTTGAGTCTTGATAGTCACGTTGTGAATTCGGAATTATAGTCTACTGTCAACTGTTAGTTTCGTCAAGGAGCATATAGATGGCGTTGTCATAATTTTACGAAATATATATCGCGTGTTTTTATTTAACGAGAAATTATTTTCTATGTGCTATTAAATAAAAAATAAACAAAATATTGAAGAGGTACATGTAAATAAATAAGTTCAATTTAACTATTAATCATTAGAAATCTTTAGACAATAAAACTTAAAATAATATTGTTTCCATTGTATCCGTGTAACTATTTTAACGTTGCTAAATTTGACATAAAAGCAATATTACTTTAATGTTAAAGTCGCGTGAATGAGAGCGCATCAACTGAGTGAATGAATAGTCCCAAACCTGCCAATAAAACATCATAGTTTTAACATTACAAATAAGCTTACGTTAAGCGCTTTATGGTACGAAAAGTCAATGTAAGGTTAAAGTAATATTTTAAGAGGTTGTGGTAGGCTCCTTGGTGAAAGCTAAACCTATTAGATCTATGGTTTACGTCTAATGATAACGACAAAATAAACTTTCCATAATGTAGGCAGCTAAATCACTTACCTTATTCACACTTATACTTAAAAAAAACATAAAAATTCTTTACACTTTACCTCTATATTGTTCATGATAACTGGCAGCACACAACCCAATCACAAGTGACAGAAATAAAATTTCAAAAATCGAACGCATTTCGTAGTGTCCAATAGCAGCTCTCATTTCAAACTGTTCCAACTTCCAAAGTTCGTTGATCTTTTATTAATTATTATTGATATATCAAAATGGCTGACTGTTCATGATATCTTTCGGAAACAATGGGTTATATTATGATAACAAATAACCATTTTCCAATATAACTATGATTTAGCTTTATTTTCTAAGCAGTTACGTAATTACATAGACATTCGCAGGTGGTTCGTGTTTAAATTGTAGGAATTTAAATGACAATGCGAAAGTATGGTCATCATTATTTATTATTTGACATTTTTTGTGAAATAGCTCCACTAGTTTTGTTATGATTAAGGGTGCGTTCAAATGAGCCGCTGTTAGCTGCGCTGCAGCAGCGCTGCAGCCGCGCGGCGGTCGCGCTGCAACCGCGCGGCGGTCGCGCGACTGTCGCGCTGCTGAAATGCGACCAAATTTTTAGTGATGTCTTATCTTTCGACTCAGTTACACGATGGATTCTGACGAAGAAACGTTACTTTCACTTTTTTGTTTTTAATGAGCACCCCCAAATACCTCGAAAACGATACCCAACTTGCCATTATTTGAGAAATCGTGCCCGCCATCTTGCATTTAGAAATGCGAAAAGTCGTGTCAGCCATCATGTATTCAGATATAAATGCCATTTCCATAAGGGTTACCAAAAATAAATTTTTGAAAATTCTTGGCAGCCATCTTGGACTTAGAAATTAATGCCACGTTCTCAATGAGCACTCCCGCATTAGGACATTTTTGTTTGCATGAGAATCGTGATCGCGCTCTGAAAATATTTTATTAAAATAGGCTTCGTCTGGAAGATTTAGACTTTACGATAAATATCGAGTTCTTAGGTTTTCGCGATTGTTACACATAGGAAATGAAACTATTTTTCCGGATTTAAATCGCGCATATTTGTTTTTCACGGTCACGGTTGACTGTCAACCGTGACCGTGTCCTTTACGATAAATTTTATTATATGTCTTCTCAAAGTATTAGATGCAAATTTCTGATTACTGTCATTTATATACTTTTTGTTAATGAAATTTGATTATTCATAATTCATTTATTCATTTTGTCACGTGGATTAATAGAGGTGTTAAATAATAGAATTCCAGCACATGAACCCTGTAAGGGCATTACAATGATAATAATTTTACTAATTATTGATCTCGTATACAAGCTGTGTTTTTTTATCAAAACCAATATAAAAATTTAGATCACAATAATTAACATTAAGGTGTATATACAATTTATTTTTATCATTTAATTAATTAATTAATGGTCAAAATTGGACAAAATAATGTTTGAAGAAAATAAATTATTAACAAAAAAATATATAATAATAGTCCTGACAAATGTTCGTAAATTATGATAATTTTATTATGTCAAAAACGTGATAAAAATAAAGGTATTGTCAAAACCAGTTGAATAATAGTAAATGTCAATAATTATGTATAAAAACATAAAGTCTATATATGTCATGTCATGAAAGAAACGTTAATAGAGAATTATTATTAATATTTATACA